GGGGAGGAGTACTGTGGAGGACAGCTCAAGACTGAAAGTGAATATTGAAGCCTGAACTACACACACATCGAGGGATATATAAAAAAAGCCCATTTGTACGTTGACTTTGTCTTTTGCCTGGAATATCATTTAAACTGAAGATTTGATAACAACAACCTTCTTTTTTTTAGGTAAGTTACATTTTCTTTTAATTGAATCCTGGCAGGTCTCAATAGATTCTGAATAATCAAGCCCAAGGAAATATCAGGAGTCTCGTCAAACATCGCAAGATCATTAATTAGAATATTTTTTTTAAAAAAGTTACTGGAGCAATGTAAGGCTATGCATAGATGTACTGTCCAAGAGTCCTGCCAGGGCAGTAACCAATCACAGAACTTGCCCTGCTGTAGGAGGCACAGGTAGCTGTTGAGTACATGCAGGGCAATATCGATAGGTTCAAGCATTGAGCAGATCCATGGGAATGTAGGCACTGTGAGTACATAAGAGGATGACAAATGCTACGAGGAGGACTAGACCAAAAAGGCATGTATCCAGTTGTCCAGTTTAATGCTTGAGTAGAGGGAAGTTGCACAGATCACCCAAAAAGAAAAAAAAAGGTTGGGAGCTCCTCTGGGTGGTGGCAGCAGAAAAAACAACAGGGGAGGGGAGAACAGATCACAGATAAGGAGTTGCCCAAAGTAGGGACTGCAGAGCCAGGTATCAGGTTTGCAATTTGCTAAACAAGCTTGATGAGATCAGTAAACTTATAAGTTCAAACGAACAGAACAGCAAGAAACCAGGTCATGTTTCTGATCCAGTGGAATGTTTAGTAGAAGGCCTCAATTATTGCAGCTGTCTCTTTGGGTGGATAGGAAATGCTAGACCCATGCTGTATTCTTTGCAAGTTGGGATGCGGAGAGCCCCTTGCAGGTGACCTGTATCGGAGCTGCCTCTTGCTCTGGGGATCCATAGGTTTCTCTCGGGGAGGTCGGCTACAGGTAGTTGATGAGCAAAAATCGCTGTGTCAATTTGGTAGCTTGACCATGAGGAGAACCAGAGTCTCACAGAAGCACTATAGGTCCTCTGGAACTTGCAGGTGTGCGATACAGCCCAAAGCAGAGGTGGTGAGGCAGAATGGAAACGTCCAACAGTAGTGTATGCCCTTAGGGCAAAGAATGTGAAGTAGGAGTCAGAGATCTCTACAGTGTTGATGTGTGATGTTCGATAGATCTTGAAAAATGTGAATGTTAGTGTGCATAAAATGAATCAGATTACAGGGTTTCCGAAGAATCTCTTTCGTAAGCACACCACACCACATCCCACGGAGGGTAACATTCCCTGTCCCTAGGTCTCAGGTCATGATGAATTTTGCTCCATATCAATGGCTGTGAATGGTGGCCAATCTAGCAGCTTAGTGGAGACATTCAGAATAGTGAGGAGGAGTTGATCCTGTTCGACCGACTCCAACAGGCCATGTATTCTGAAGTTTTCTCTACGACCTCTATTATTTAGATCTTTTAGGTGTTGGTGAAGGTTTTGCAGCTGAAGCATGTGGGTGTCTATTGCTTGGTGCATGCAGAGGATGGCATTTCCATGATGAGCTGTAATCTTCTCTATGTCTTTCAGCCTACCTGCAATTGCCGGGATGTCATTGTGCAGGTCAGTGATAGCTGCTGAAAAGGTATCTTTGATGACTGGGGGGATTCTGTGGAGATCACTCAGGCTCGGTTGCTGTTGGGAAGCCGGAAGATGTGCAGGCCACATGTAAGCTGGGCTGTGCAATGGAGGGAAGGGCACTGGTGTGCGGTAGATTTCTGGGATATTTTGGCTGAGCAGCATTCCTAAATCCTATGAGAAGTGAGAGCATGATGCCAGGTTGCTGTGGAAGTTTTTCTCCATGTAGAACTGCAAGAGAACCTCTGGTAGTGCTAGATCTGTTCCTCTGGTAGCAGGAGCTCTTGTTCTAAGCAGCCATTTTAGTCTAAGGTCGGACCACCCCTCCTGGCCCTATATTTTTTTTTTGCCTTGTATGCACTTTTCTGTTAGTATTTAGCCACCAAGGTTTAACTTTTTTCTTTTATATTGGTTACCCATTGGAATACACTGAAGCAGGGATGGACTGACAACTCATGGGGCCCCCGGGCAATAGGCCCCTGTGTCCTTGCCCACACTCAAAAAAGCCTATAAAAAAGGTACCAGGGGCATTTCATGGGGCCCCTTACTGACCCCGGGCCCTTGGGCAGTGCCCGAGTGCTCGAATGGTCAGTCCGCCCCTGCACTGAAGAATGCCATTGTTTAAAATATCCTTTAGGAACTCCCACATCTCTTCAATGCTCTTTGTTGCAAGAATTTGGTCCCATTTAGTGTCATGTAGTATGGAGTGCAGCTTAGTAAAATTGGCTCTTTTGAAATGTAGTGTTCTTGCCAGTTCCTCAGCTGCTTGTTTAGCTCTTGAAGCTCCTGCTGCCTATGTGGTGTGCCAAGTGGTACAGAAAGTATTTTTGAGAATACTACCTTGGAGGTCCTTGAAATCAATTTTAAAAATGTTCCATCTTCCTCTGACTTTGTTATTTGTTCGATCAATGTACCATGACAGCTAAGTCCTTTCCAGCCTAGCCAACAATCTGTCCACTCAACATGCTGTTAAAAATCTGTATGATTTTAAGCTTTTGTTCCCTGGAGAAAAAACTACACTGTAAACATACTGGTTCCTCCATCTTTCATAGATTCCTACCTCAGACTTCATGTCACTGTAAAATACAGTATGGACGTAAGATCAGATGGAGGGACTATTGAGAGTTGCAGGAGACCTAGAAGATAGACCATACAGGATTAGTCTGTTACCCAATAGACAAGTCTTGTGAAAGATGACTATGTAATACTTCTTCTTACAGGTCACAAAGGTTCTAAAAATATATTTGCATGACAGGGTCACTTTAAAGTGTGTTTCTATGTTCACAATTAATTTTAAGAAAATCCCATTATATGGTTGTTGTGCATTCCTATTCATACAGCATACCTAAAAACTTTTTTTTTTAAATATTTCTTACTTTTGGATGTTTCCGAGGAGAAAGTGTCTTGGCTACCTGCAAGCCTTCTCAGCTAGCTCAGTGTGGCTGTACAAATATCTGTGCTCAGTAGTGGCTGAGTCCAGTTCTCAATAAATCTTTTTTTAAGACTGAGCATGCAAAATCTGATGCAGCTCTGCATAGAAACCAGTCAGCTTCCAGATTTTATTGTCAATGCTTAATTGAACAAGCTGAAGTTAGAAGCTGATTGGCTGTCATGCACAGCTACACCAGATTCTGAGTGCTCCAGGTTTAGTAAATCCCCTCCACAGTGTTCAAATCTAGTACAACTGATGAGATATCTGCCTCCAGTTAGGGTTAATTGTGGAAAATACATCTGCCCCCTCACAAAAAGAAAACCCAGTAGAATTTCTCCTTCTTGAAAGTTCCAAAAAAAAAGAGCATTTTTATTGAATATGCAGAGGATACAAATATAAACATACTTACATGTGTAACATATACTGTATATACATATAACAGCATACATGTATACATCAAGAATAGAATATAAATTTAAATGGAAAAGATTCCAAGACAAGGATTTAAATGGTTTAAATACAAAGAATAGCCAGTAGTATGTTAATACTATAACATGTAACCTAATTGATTGATAAAAATGAATATTTGTAAAGAATATTTAGCTATAGACGTATGTCGCCAAGCGGGAAAAAGACCTAGGCTCCAAGTTGAGCCCTGATGATTGGGACCGTATCTGGCACGTGACTAAGTCCTCCTCACAGAATGTGGTAGCAGTTGAAACCAACTATAAGGTTCTATCCCCATGGTAGTTGGTCCCGGCTTGGATTGTAAAATATACCCCTGGTTACTCCCCAGATTGCTTTCGAGGCTGTGCGATGACAGGAACGTTTTTCCGCATTTGGTGGTCTTGCCCATTTGTCCACACTTTCTGGGATGGCATCTTCCACATGTTTTATACTCTCTTTCAAAAGCCACTGTCACCTACCCCGACAACCGCTCTACTCAATCTGTGACCTCGATCTCTAAACTCCAATTTAGGTTTTTTTTAAAGATCACAACCGCAGCAAAACAAATTATAGCAAAATCTTTGAAATCCCCATCACTCTGCACATTGGCAATTCGGAATAAGTGACTCAGGCCATGATACACGCCAAAGTGGAGGCTGCCATCACAGATACCGTTCCCAGATTTCTGCTAATTTGGTCCCCCTGGATTGAACACTTTCTTCCTCCGGGGTTCGATGAATCGTTGCTTCTTCCTTAAAACCCTTCTTTCCCAGAAGGTTTCCCTGTACCTTGGTCCGGTCCCATCTCCTCCTTCTCTTTCTTGGAAGTCACACACTCTGTTTCTTTCTTCCCCTCATCCTCTATTCCTTCTTCCCCCCCCCTCTTCTTCTCCTTACCCTTACTTGTTGTCTTTTTTTTTACATGCATTTGCAATGTTTGTACTACCTCTTTGGGCCCTACGGCCTTTAGCCCATATCTGTAATCTGTATTGCGAATGACTTTTGCACTTTGCTGTCTACCCTATACCCTTAAAATCTAAAAAAGTGTTTGAAGAAGAAAGAATAGAGAATTTATGTTGGGGGGAGAGTGAAAAGAAAAAAGGAAAGAACAAGAAAAGGGGATGGGTAACTGACTGGGCTAAGCTGCTTTCAAAGTTTTGGGTTAAAGCTATTTGTCAATTAGAAAGAATGAAAAGAAGAATCAATACTGAGGTTGGAGGTATAGTCCAACCATGGATATTTTTAAAATGTTAGAGTGGTTGTCAGTTAGAATGGAAGTTAATTTTTCATGGATCATGGTTTCCATAATTCTGTTTAACCTTTCAAAAATTCAGAATTATTTGTCTGAAAAGCTGCAATTTTATTTTTAAGATTTGCTATGCATATGGGGACATGTAGTGAATCTAAAATAGGTATTAACACAACTTGGATACAAACATGTAAAAACTTCTTAAAATTCATATTTATTATTAACATTGACGTTCTAGACTTTTTTTAGTATGCATTATATACCCCAAAGCATTTTTGATGTCTTTATTTCTCAAACTGTATATAAAAGGGTTTAAAAATGGAGTAAACACCGTGTACAACAAAGTCAATATCTTGCTGATCATCTGTGACTGCTCTTCATGCGGAAGGACATACATGGAGATTAGAGTCCCATAAAATATAGATACGACTGTCAGATGGGAGCTGCAAGTAGAAAAGGATTTCAGTCTTCCAGAAATGGATGAAATCTTTAATATGGCTAAAGCAATGTAGATATATGAAATTACTATCAAGAAGAATGGCAAAACTGTGACAGCAGCACTAAGCAAGGTGGACTCCATCTGAACAACGGATGTGTCTGAGCAAGAAAGTTTCACCACAGGATAAAAATCACAGAACAGTTGATCAATAGTATTCGGCCCGCAGAAATCTAATGAACACACACCATGTATTAGAAAAGATGCTACAGAATAACTTAACAGCCAGGCTACAACAACAAAGGTAATACAAAGCACTTGGCTCATAATGGAGACATAATGTAGAGGATAGCAGATGGCTAGATAGCGGTCATAGGACATCACCATCAGAACAAAACATTCAGATGTTCCTGATACAACAAAGAAATACAGCTGTGTGATGCATCCAGGAAAAGATATGGATGTCTGCCCATGTAGAACAATATTAAGCATGTTCGGGGCAATATCAGTAATCAACATGATGTCACATACAGAGAGTTGGGTGAGGAAGAAGTACATGGGAGAGTGGAGGGTTTTGCTGTAGCACACCAGTGTGATGATTATGATATTTCCACATATTGTCATGCAATATATCATAAGGATGAAGGAGAAGGCCAAAAGGTTAAATTTGCCCATATTTTTGAATCCCAACAAGAATATTGTTGTAATATTACTCTTAGATATGACCTGTGTAAGAATATTATGTGATTATTTAAATGTACATACAATAAAATGTAAAAATAGCTGGCTAAATAAAAACTAAAATTTGTTCTCCGCAATATCTCCAGAATATGCCACTTTTTAACCAATGATACCACATAACTTCTAATTCACTCCTTGGTTATCTCTCACCTCGACTACTGCAACCCCCCCTTTAGCTTACCTCTACATAGGCTATCTCCCTCCAGTTCATCATAAATGTTGCTGCCAGGCTCATCCACCTTACTAACCATTCAGTCTCTGCTAGCCCTCTTTGCCAATCCCTCCACTGGATTCCACTCAGTGTCCTCCATCCCTCTTTGCCAATCCCTCCAGTGGCCTCCACTCACCCAGCGAATACAATTTAAAATACTAGAAACTTACAAACCAATCCACAACTCTGCCCTTATCTACATCAACAACCTGGTCTCAAAATATCAACCAAACCGCTTTCTTGGATTCTCCCAAGACCTTCTCCTCTATAATTCCCTTGTCACCTTTTCCCATGCTCACATCCAGGACTTCTCCTGAGCTTCTCCCATCCTATGGAACTCCCTACCCCAATCTGTCAGACTATTCCCCTTCAGATGATCCCTGAAAACCTTTCTCTTTAAAGAAGCCTATCCTGCTTCTAACTAGTAAACCACCTTTTATTTCCTCCATCAGCTCATACCCCACAGCTATTACCTTTTGTATCACTCAACTCTTCCTCCTAGATTGTAAGCTCCAAGGAGCCGGGCCTCCTGTTTCCTCTTGTACCAAATTATATTGTAACTGTCATGTCTACCTTCATTTTGTAAAGCACTGTGTGTCAGGGATCCGGGTAGGACCAGAGATGTGTGGACTGACACAGGGAAACAGCAGGCTTCAGAAATGATTAAATAATAATAATATTTATTATGAGCTGCACAAAATAAACAAACACAGTGCAAAACAAAACAAACCTTAAACTAATAGGTACAGGTGCAGTCAGGGCTGGAGAGGTGGAGTGGTCAGGCGGGCCGGGTCGGTAGCTAACGGGCAGACAAGGTACAAGGAGTAGGTAGAAGATTGGTAAGGAGTAGCCGAGGTCGGTGCAGGCAGAGTTCAAGCAGAGTCAGGATCAAGAAGAGTCAGGATCAGGCAGGAAGCAGACAGGATGAAGGTACAGGGGCTCATACACCAAGGAACAATACACCAAGGCCCTGACTGCAGGCCTGGCCATTCCTTAAATACACCTCCTGCAATCAGCCTCAGGTGATGGCTGATTGCAGGAGTGAGCTTCTGGTTGCTGAGAGCACCCGCTAGCCAGCCCTGGTACTGCAGCCCACAAGGCATGTGAGTCCCACCACCATTGGCGAGTCCATTCCTGACACTGTGCAAACTGTTGGCACTTTATAAATCCTGTATAATAATAATAATAACAATAATAGTATATATAAATAAATTTTTACAGCTTCAATTAGAGTGACAATATGTTAGAAAAATGGAGAGTGCATCTTCCAATAGGGTCACTTTTTATGTCAATACCTATCTAAGAGGGCATTACCCTAATTTTGGAAACATTTATTTTACCATCATATTGGGGGAGATTTATTAAAAGTGGAGAGTGCAGAATCTGGTGCAGCACAGCATAGAAACCAATCAGCTTCCAGCTCAAGTTAGAAGCTGATTGGCTTTCATGGACAGCAGAAACAGAATCTGAGTGCTCCAGCTCCCCTATTGTGTCAACAGGACCAAAAGCAGATTAAAATCTAACCAATTGGACACAACTGGCAAAATACATGAATAAATAATAAAAAGTATATGTAGTAATATATAATAATAATAACAGAGGTTTTACCTACTCCCTACTCTATCCAAAATGGAAAAGAAATTTTACATTTAAATCTAATTAAAGTTGTTGGGGAAAAAAAACTAGTCCCCCTGCAGGGTAGTCATAATGTACTGGTATGCACTGCATACCAGCATACTAGGACAGACTTACCTGCAAAACGGATCCCTCCAGCGGCGACCTGCCACTACTGACCGGGAATCCATCTTCACCTGGTCTTCTTCTGGGCTTGCTGGCTGCAGCCGCCTGATTGGCCGAGCCACAATAATGTCACTCCCACTCATGTGCATGGAAGCAGGGGCGGACTGACCATTTGGAAACTCGGGCACTGCCCGAGGGCCCGGGGTCAGTAGGGGGCCCTATGACATGCCTCTGGTACCTTTTTCATAGGCTTTTTTTTCAGTTTGGGCAAGCACACAGGGGCCCCATGATCCCCTATTGCCGTGGGCCCCATGAGTTGTTAGTTTGCCCCTGCATAGGAGTCTCTGTTTACGGCACAGGGCTCTAAAGGAACGGGACGTGTATGCCGTTCCTTCAGTAGCCATGCCTCAGTGAGGTCACCAGCAGCTCAACAGGCAAATATCTCCTAAACTGTGCATGTTTAGGAGATATTTATGGTCCCTACAGGTAAGTTTTATTACAGGTAAGCTTTATTATAAGTTTAGGTACAAAGCAAACAAGGGTGTTTACTACCACTTTAAAGATTTGTGAAGATCTCTAAAAACATGCATGAAAACCTTGATTCATTCCACTGTTAACATGTTTAACAATACTATTTTCACTTGATATATAACGACTTATTATTATGAGGAATCATGAGTAGGTATTTAAATAGTTTTGGTGCATCACTATAAAATGTTTAATTTTTAAAGGAAGATGGTTAAAAAAACATTAATATTTTTTTTTTAAATTACCACTTGCAGACCAGGCCTTTCTCTTACAATTTTTGTTAACAAGTAAATATCAGCCTTATTTTTACTAGAAAATTACTTAGAACCCGCAAACAGTATACATGTTTTTTTTTTTACCAGAGGCCCTAGAGAATAATATGGTGTTTTTTTTATTTTTTATGTCACGGTATATGCACAGTGGTTTTTTCCAAATGCAATTCTTTGGGGAAAAATACACTTTAATGAACTGTAATGCATGCAAACACAATACAATATCCAATTTTTTTTTTGTCATGCTTGAAAATTGCACCCTTTCGAAGAATGGTGACAAACTATACCCCCATAGTATGTCACCATAGGCAACACTTTAACCGAGTGTAGCTCGGGGTAAAATGTCAGTGCAAAAAGCGGTAACCCCGAGCTACACTCGGGCTTACCATGCAGCGCTACATAGGGGTGTCCCAGCAGCACTTACCTTGTCCTTCGCTCCCGCGATGTGTCCCCTGCAGCGTCCCCGGCCATCTCCTCTGGCCGATGCCAGTATCCGGCCTCTGTGTTCCGGTCCCTGTGATGTCGGGACGTACGGGCGCCGCAAGCGGCGGGAAATTAAAACATTTTAAAAAATGTCATTTTTTTCAAAACACATTTTTCATAGTAAAACATTGCTGTTTCAACCCATTTCACATACATTTTGTCCCGAGTGCTTTGTCCGGCGCCCTGCCTGCATTTTGTCTGTTCTTTCTGCCTGGAAACTGTGAAACGTCCATGGCGTCCAAAAAGCGTCCCTTTAGGTCAAAAGCGGTTTTAGACCGGCTAGAGAACAGCGATAGTAAATCAGAACCACTTGCAGAATTGAGTGATAATGATTCGTGGGGGAAATTCCTCATCAGACACTGAAAACGATTCAGCGATGTGCGAAATTGGCGCTCTATTTCACATTTCAGTGTTTTTGGTTTGATTATATTATTGAATTAAATGTATTATTATTATATTATTATTTTTTATGATTATTTATTAAATTATAATTGATGATTTCGTGTTTCAAATTTTATCATAGCCGGGATGTTTACTAGACTCTTGTTCGGACAGATTTCAGTGAGTTATTCCTAAGAATTACAGCCTACAATAAAAAAACTACATATTTCCATGCAAAATAATGGTACCGCTTTCAGCACCAAAAATCTGAAATAATCATACCGCCAGGGAGGTTAACCACTTCCTGTCCGGATACTTTTACCCCCTTCCTGACCAGGGCAATTTTCAGCTTTCAGCACTATCACACTTTGAATGACAATTGCGCGGTCATGCAATACTGTACCCATATGAATTTTTTACCATTTTTTTGAGACAGATAAAGCTTTATTTTGGTGGTATTTATTCACCGCTGGGATTTTTATTTTTTTTACTATGTAAAGGAAAAAGTCCAAAAATTTTGAAAAAAAGTGTTTTTTTTTTATAAAATTTTGCAAATAAATAATATTTCATCATAAATCTTGGCCAAAATG